CATACCCGTTCCGTCCTATACATCCCCCCACAGTCAGCAGCCCTTTCCAGAGCAGACATCTGTTACATCACCACCATCCCCAAAGCCTTTGCCAACTTTTAAGCTGAATTTTCCAACTCTAGGAAATGACACGTCACAGGGTTTTTAAATTATTACTTTTAAATGGGAACATACCGAAGCAGCCAGATTTGTAGTGAATGGTACAAAATGATGGAAATTGTATCCAGCTACCAGAGATATTTTTAGGAATGCAGACTACAAAGCATTCCATTCACATGGAAAAAAAGATGAGAAAATTCCTTGAGTTCTGGTTCTTTGCACTGCCTTTCTGTGGACATCTGGGGGTGGTGCTCCAGCAGATTCCACGACAGGGCAGAAGTGGACCATAGGCTCCCGGAACTGTGTTTCTATCCTAAGCTTCTTAATATTTATTTATAAGCACACAAAACAAAATAAAGTTCATTCCTGTTAGGTTATATTATCCATATCCTCAGCTTGGATCAATAGCTAACATGCTGTGTATTTATTTGTAAAACCTTAAATGAGAATGTAACTTTCTGGCGTCAGTCTTTTTACCTGGGTCATTAAACCCAGCCTCTCAAACAGCACCTGCCACATCAAAGGTGCTGAGTTCGTTTACTGGTGGATGATTGACAGGGATGAACATAAATAAGTTTTTATCTTGCTTGTAAGTTTTGGAAGCTGGTTTTGTATCATATTTGGGTGGTATCATAGCAAGGAAAAAGAAGAGAAATGTGTAGGACCTCAATTCAGCTTGGGAACCAGAGGCCAGCTGGTTGAAACCTAACTAAAGTTTTGGAGAGGAATTTGTGCTCTGTCTGATGAAGACATGTGCTCGGCTCCCAAGGCTTCAGAATAACATATGAGAAGTTATCACGTGCAAGTGGGTTGCCCCAGAATAGTTTTGGCCAATAGGAAATAAACCTGAAGTGTGTTTGATAGGAGAAGCTATTTTTAGTTTGGAGTATTTGGTGTTGTCATGAGCTGTAACTTCATCAATAATGTGTATTAAAAAAAAAAGAGCGACTAATTTTTTTTTCTTGGAAAGTATTTCTATCTTACAAAGAGAGGCAGGAGGGAAAAAATAACAACACATTATGTATATAAAAATCAGCAGCTGCAATGTGATGGAAAATCAAGCAATGGGGGTTTTAATTAAAATATTCTAATTTCAAAAAAAAGATTTTTTTTCTTCTTCCTTCAGGAATACACAGTGGCTCTGTGTATTCTGAACTGAGTACTGGGGAGGAATCTCAGGAATACCTAAGACGTGGGTCAGGTGTAGAAGATTAGGACGCCCAGCCTTGGCCCTCAGGATGTCAGCAATCGGATGACTGAAGGCCACTGTGACTAGACACATTTTATTCTCAGTGTTATGGCTGGTATATATCCAGTTATCCTGGGAGCTCCTTTTTAATTTTAGAAAGTGTAGGAAGCAGGAAGTGACCATGAACTCATGTTTAGCAGGCTGAAACCTATCAACTAAATTTACATACTTATATATTGCTGATGTGGGAGAAATAAATAGCAAAGTAATGGTATTTTTTACACACAATGACATACCTACTGTAGTGATTTGAATATAAATTGTCCCCAAAGGCTCAAATATCTGATTGTTTGGTTATTGCCTACTTGACACAGATTAGGAGGTATGGCCTTGTTGGAGGAAGTACATCACTAGGGGGTGAACTTTGGTGTTTCACGTGCTCAAGCAAGGCTCAGTATCTCTTTCTGTTGCCTGCTGATCCGAATGAGGAACTCTCAGCTACTTCTCCAGCACCCTGTCTTCCTGCATGCTGCCATTAGTCCATGATGATAATGGACTAAACCTCTGAAACTGTAAGCCAGCTCCAATTAAATGTTTTTCATTGTAAACATTGCCATGGTCATGGTGTCTCTTAACAGCAATAGAACTTGACTGAGATACCTAGTAACACAAAGATCCTATATTCCTAGGGTTATTTGTAATTGCGAAAGACTCAAAATACAACTAGCCTAGCATTGTGATTATAGACACAAACAAAAATCTCTGACCAACCTTTGTCAAATTTAGCATAGTTTTTGATAGATGTCCTTTACCACCTAGTTAGATTATATTACATTCTCTCAATGTATTTTTAGCAAGATCATAACAGCCTTGAACTTAAGGCCGGCTAACTCTTGCTATTCCCGTTACTAGAGGAAAGTAATGTATAAATTGTAAGAGTTTTTTAAAAGGTAATACTGAGATCTAGCAACCCATGTGTTTCACAATTAGTGACCATTGTGTATAACAGGAGAAAGAAAGCCGTGTTTCTATGGTCAAAATCCAAAGAGGTAGTCAGGAGTCCAGAACATTCAGATGAATGTAATCAGAACTTATGTAACTAAGGATGATGATCCTGGGTTCATTAGGAAACCAGGCTAAGCAATTCATGAGAAGCAGGTTAGTAAACAGCGCTCCTCCACGGCTTCTGCATATCCGTTCTCCTGCTCCAGGTTCCCTGTTTGACTTTCTGTCTTGACTTCCTTCCATGATGAACAGTGATGTGGAAGTATAAGCCAAATAACCCGTGTGTCTCTAAGTTCCTTTTGGTTATGGCGTTTCATCGTAGCAACAGTAACCCTAACAAGACAGAGATGGAAGTAGAAACAAAGTCACCTCGACATTAAAAGATCCAGACTTATGAGCATAAAGAAGCTGACAGAATAAGATACACGCAGGAGATAGTAAAGAGCAGCATGAGAAATGTGGGCCATACAAGCTAGAGAACACGCTGTGAGAAATGTGGGCCATGCAAG